CACACACACACACACTCACTCACTCACTCACTCACTCTCACACACACACTCACTCACTCACACACACTCACTCTCTCACTCACACACTCACTCGCACTCACTCACGCTCACACACTCACTCACTCTCACGCACTCACTCTCACGCAATCACTCACACGCTCACTCACACACACACACACTCACACACACACACACTCACACAAAATAAAATATTTCAGTAACATTAAATATTATATAGCTCTTTGGATTAATATATTACGTAAGAGCGATTGTGCTTTTTTAAAGATGCAGCATCATGACTTACAAAAACATGAAATATAGAGAGCGAATGAGGCTGGTATATCTGACATACAGACGGAATCAGAGTGAGTTAAATTAATTCTACAGTGTGTGTGTAACGGGTCGTTGGTGAGATACAATAATCAGCATGACGCTTTAATTCTGCTCCAATCAGCAACTCTCAACAGAAACTTTACAGCTGAGTGGAAATTCAGCATAACTGCTTATCTAATCTCTCTCTCACACACACGCACACACACACATACTCTCTTTCACACACACTCTGACACACACACACTCTTTCACACACACACACACACACACACACACACACACACACACACACACACACACACACAAAATAAAATATTTCAGTAACATTAAATATTATATAGCTCTTTGGATTAATATATTACGTAAGAGCGATTGTGCTTTTTTAAAGATGCAGCATCATGACTTACAAAAACATGAAATATAGAGAGCGAATGAGGCTGGTATATCTGACATACAGACGGAATCAGAGTGAGTTAAATTAATTCTACAGTGTGTGTGTAACGGGTCGTTGGTGAGATACAATAATCAGCATGACGCTTTAATTCTGCTCCAATCAGCAACTCTCAACAGAAACTTTACAGCTGAGTGGAAATTCAGCATAACTGCTTATCTAATCTCTCTCTCACACACACGCACACACACACATACTCTCTTTCACACACACTCTGACACACACACACTCTTTCACACACACACACACACACACACACACACACACACACACACACACACACAGCAGATTAAGGGTTTCTGGGTGTCATTTCTTTTTTCAACGCTTCATGCTTGACAAATTTCATGCACTCACTTTCTGAACTCACAGATCCTCCTCCTCTGCATTCAAGAACAAAAAGTACCACGGTATTACGTTGTTTCTTTGAAGCCCAAGAGAAAAGCATGTAAATGTCTGGAAGTGGAGTAACGAGCCGTCAGCTGCTCATTCTCACACAATCCCTCCGAAACGGCTTTATTTTGTGAGAATGATCAGCTGATTCAACATCATCCCACTGACAACACGACTACATATCACATCAACAAACAAATAAATACATGACATTTACATTCACACATAGAGCAGATGCTTTCATCCAAAGCTGCTTACAAATGAGTAACATCACATGCAATTCATCAAAGTCAACAATATTCACAGTACACAACGGCAGATTTATTAGAAAGTAAAATAAATGAATATTTATTTACTCATTTATATATTTATTTATTATTTTTTATTAAGTAAACATTAAATAAGTACATAATGAATCCATTAACTAAGTAAATAAATAAGTAAACAAGTTAAGTAAATAAATGAAATTCATAAGTACATAAAATTTGACCTTGGAGCACAAAAATACCTTGTATGGGTCAAAATTATAGATTTTTCTTTTATGCCAAAAATCATTAGGATATTAAGTAAAGATCATGTTCCATGAAGATATTTTGTAAATCTCCTACCGTAAATATATCAAAACTTAATGTTTGATTAGTAATATGCATTGCTAAGAACTTCATTTGGACAACTTTAAAGATGATTTTCTCAATATTTAGATTTTTTTGCACCCTCAGATTCCAGATTTTCAAATATTGTCCTATCCTAACAAACCATACATCAATGGAAAACTATTTATTCAGCTTTCAGATGATGTATAAAACTCAATTTCGAAAAATTGACCCTTATGACTGGTTTTGTGCTCCA